TGTATGTATGTATGTACGTGGCATGTATGTATGTATGTATGTATGTATGTATGTATGTATGCATGTGTGTATGTATGTGTGTGTATATATATATATATATATGTGTGTGTGTGTATGTACATCTGTTTTGCCTGCGGTTTATCAGCTTTTCACCTGCTGGGTCTAGCAGTATTGGCTTCAGGGTTTTGGGCTTGCAAAGGGTCTACGATTTAGGGTTTAGTAAAAGATTTAGGGTTTCGGATTCAAGGTCCAGTCCCAAAGCCCTAAACCCCAAACCCGAAACCCAAAACTGAAAAAAACCTAAGCCCAAGCAAAACCCAAAACCTTAAACCGCGTTTACAGTCACGGTGCCGGGGACTGCGACCCTCATGTGGCCGAAGAGCCTCTTAGCTGCCACGAGGAGCCGCCGCGACTGAGCACTACTCAGCTGAGCTGCCTCGTCGGGGTACCAAGAGTAGTTTGAAGATGTTTTTTAAGCTATGATGAACTATACCGTACTATAAAATATGATAGTGTAATCTACAATGATATGTTATGATATGGTATAACATACCGTACTATGACAAACGCTGGTATAGTCTACTATGACATATTATGATACATATATATATATATACATATGTTTATACCGTAGTATAACATACGCTAATATAATCTACTATGAGAGTTGCGGGTTTGAGGTTTTGGGTCCCAGAGCTTCCGGGTGGTTCAGGGCTCCCGAGGTTCAGGGGGTGGCACTTGGAGGTTGAGGTGGGAATCCTTGGGCTTGTGGCTGTTGGGGCTTAGGGTTTGGGGTTTGGAGTAGGGGTTCAGGGTTTAGGGTTTAGAATTCGGGGTTTGAGTTCTTCTCATTATACGTCAATCCGTGCGCATCTGTCTCGTTGTGGCCTCGGTGACGACTTCACTGAGTTTTTGGCCACCCCTTGACAATCCCCGAGGGATTGTGGCCAACAGTGGCCGTGCAACAGGGGTGGCCATCAACGACAGAGACCAGTTCTCCATTGATGCTGCGCTGATCCTGTCCACCCTTGCCCACGCAGCATTTGGGCTGGATGGAGTCGCTGATTGATACTGTGTGTCACCTGTACATTCTGCGCTTGTTTCGTGGTTGTGCAAGAATTGATGTATGGTGTGGCGAAGCGATGGACACCCAAAGACATACCCGGCCAAAGCCGTCCGAAAGTATATCCTGGGGTTGTGCAACAAGCTCTCCGTGCCCTTCGATGCCAATTCGTCGACCGTCCTCTCTGTGCGGCCTTCGCTTTCAGTGTCTGATGTCGTATTTTTGTTTTTTGATTACCGTGTTGGATTTGCAGAAAGACACGATGTTGGAGGGCTGGTGCATCGACAATGCTTGGAGGCCCGCGGGCTTGGATAATAGCAAAGTGAAGGCGCTGGCGCCATGTGTTCCTTGGCAGCGTTGCAGTGACAAGCTGCCTTGTGTTGTGTCCGACGATGGGCGGCAACATCGGGCTTTCTGCTTGCTTGTGCTGAGGAGGAGAATATTCCTCCCGACACGCTCCTGGGCATGGTGTGGTTCCCAGAGGAGCTGCTGAGGTGATCACCCGTGCAGGGTTAAGGCTTAAGAGTCGGAGCCTGGGGAGTTTAGAGCGCAGGCAGCAGCGCAGGCTGGCGATCGAGGGCCCAGATGCGGGGCTGGGGGGAGATAAGCTTGCCCAAGCGATTTGCTGGGGATGTTCTTTCCTGTAAACAGATGACTGGAGACAGCCTTAAATGAATGTAGACAGCATCGCAGCACTTAGTTCCTCCGTGATAGACAGGATTGGCACAGGGTCTAGGGTCCAGGGAAACTGCGTGTTGAAAGATATGCTTGCACTTTTCCAGTCCTCCGGAACCACATCCCCAAATTCAAACCTTTTAACGCTAGATTCTAGATCCGAAATCCAAGACCTCAAACAGTTGGCATGCCCGATGTGGCTTTGTGTCTTTGGTGGGCAAAAGTTTGGGGGTCAAGGTTTGAGGGTTCAAGATCTAGAGGGGTTTATGGCTTGGGGTTTAAGCGAAATATTCATGATTCAGGGTGTGGTGTCCCTACACATTAGGCGAGGATGATTCAGGTATTGTGTCCTTACACACACTAACATCCCCGAGGCATATAGGGCCCTATACAGCAGAATTCAGCCCTACAAACACTTAATTAGTCAGGATTTATGACGTAAATGCACAACAGCATCTGAAACCCTAAAGCCTGAAACGCCCTCCCTTGTCCACCCCCCCAAAGGACAACACACCTTAAACCTATGCAAAAATTGCTTTCAATCCGTTCCTCCCCGCCAGCTGAGAATTTCAGCACCAAGATCCCGCCAGTGCCAGTAGGAGGGGTCCCCACAGTCCCGTTGATGTTAATTACTCTTCCTCGTCCTCATCATCGTTCATCGTCATCACTACCATCACCACCATCACCACCATCACCATCATCACCATCATCACCATCATCACCATCATCACCATCATCACCATCATCACCATCATCACCGTCATCACCATCATCACCGTCAGCACCATCATCATCATCATCATCATCATCACCATCATAATCACCACCATCATCATCATCATCCTCATCCTCCTCATCCTCATCCTCATCCTGATTTTCCGCCTCCTCCTCGTCCTCCTCATCATCACCATCTTCATCATCATCACTGGCACTATCAGGCGCCTTATCCTAGATCCCAAGCCACAAGGCCTCGTATCCGCCACACCCAAGCTATGCTACAAGGTTTCCTATTCAAACCCTAAACCCATAAATCCTAAACCCTAAACTGTAACTTTAAGCCCGACGCCCTAAACCCCAAACCCTAAACACTGCGGAATATTTCTGAGAATTGGGTTTGGGCTTTCGGCTTTCGCCCAGATCCGGAGCATCGATGTCTCGGTGTCCCCGGGCGAGGCTGCCTTGAAGGGTACCTGTATATAGGGCTTCCATAACAGGGTCCCTTTAAAGGGTACCTTTAGGGCTTTTAAAATAGAGTCCCCTTGAGAGTTCTTACAGGGTTCTTGAAGGACCCTTTAAGTGTTTTCTGAGGGTTGAGAAGGAATCGGAGGAGCTTCGCGGCTTTCGGGTTCAGGGGTCATGGAGGTTGTAGGGCTTCGGGTTACGGGTTAAAGGTGACAGGCAGTTGATTTAATCTTCCGACTCCCGCTGCTGTGACAGCCTTGACCTCCCCACCTTTCAAGACCTCACTAAAAGTTTGCAGTTCCCTGAAAACCAGTGCCACTTCCCTTCTTTTAAGGCTTTCTAGATACTCACCTGTAGTCCCTCTCCTAGTCCTTAGCCCTAGTCTCGTGAATTTCGCACAAGGGACGAGGGACTCTTTCGAACGAAATATATGAGCATAGGCGCCTTGAGTGTTACATGCATCCACTCAGAAGTTTCCCCGGCTACTCCGGTGTCTGTAGCTTGATTCTGCCGATGCTGCTGGTACTCATACGAAGACCACAAACTCACAATCCAGATTGAACTCGCTGCCGAAAAGTTTAGGGTCCATTGTTGGTGTTGGGAGCCCTAAGTCATGAAACCTGGAACTCGACCCGATGAACAACGAAGAGCCTCAACCGCCTTAAACCCAATACGGTGCACCTTGCATGTCCCGGACTGGTGTAGGCCTTAAGCGGCTTCGAGCCCGAAGCCCGAAGCCTAGAGTCAGCCAGCCTTACCCGTAGAAAACACCGAAACCTAAAGGCCCCAAGCCCTAGACCCTAACAAGGTCTTCAAAAGAGACCCTAGCCCGCATGCCAGGAGGAGCCGTGCTTCGACTTCGCACCTCAGCGGCCATTGGGTAGGGGTTCAGGCTTAGTCTACATGTAGGGATTAGGGTGCGTAACTACTGAGACAGACAGACAGACAGGCCGATGGACAGAGATCAGGGATGAAATATACGGTATACCCAGTTTGCACAAACATTCGTTTGGTTTTCAGTTCTGGGTTCCTACCTTTTCTTGCTTTAGGAGGCTTTTGCGGAATTCCACAAATCTGACAATCCCAGCTCAGCGTCCCAAGCCCTCCAGCCCTAAACTTTAAACCCTGAGCCCAGCCCAAAACCCTAAGCCTTTCAATTGGAAGCCCCAGCTTAAGGTTTGGGTTTAGGGTTTAGGGTTCAGGGTTAAGGTTTTGGGGTTTAGCATTTGGGGGGATTTTAGGGTTCAGGATAGATGAGGTCAGCCTGTTTGCATTGGTACTACGAGGATTAATAATGCTACCTACTGCTGCGGCTGCTCCTGCGACAACGACGACGACTACCCCCGCCACGACCACCACCCTACTAGTGGTACTGCCAGTAGCTTGTTGGAAGACATCTTGAGCCGTGTGTCTGCAAGCAAAGCTGCCACACAGCAGCAGCCCCCCTGTCCAGAAAAGAAAACATTCCACCTCTTGGGGATTTGGGAGGCCAGGTGGGTTAGGTTTCATAGGGCTAAGGGGTGAAAGGTTTGAGTTTAGGTTCAAGGTTTTGGGGTTACGGTTTTAGGACTTCAAGGCGTTTCTCTCTCTCTCTCCCTCTCTCTCTTTGCGTGTGTGTGTGTGTGTGTGTGTGTGTGTGTGTGTTAGGTTTAAGCGATCGGGGTTCAAGGTTGGTGGGCCCAGGGTTGCGAAATCGCACTTCGCTTGCACCTTGGGACCCTTCATCATCACTTGTCCGAGGAAGAGTATTTCGACAGCTTCTCCATTGTGGACACTTTGGAGGCGTTCTGAGGGTTGCAAGACATGCATCCCCTCAACTCTTGTGCATCGCTGTGGCTTTCGCAGACAGAGAACGTTTACGTATAGGGCCAAGGGTGTAGGGCTTAGGGTATAGGGTTGAGGATCACATGTAGCGAGTACGTTTAGGTGGGTCTAACCTTTGTGTCGCTCGTCTTGTAGGTGATCACAAACACGACATGTTGTACCGGTTAAGGTTTAGGCAATTTAGGGTTCGCATTTGGGGGGTAGTGATTTAGTCTCTTTTTTGTTGACTTGTCAGTTTCAGACCTGCCCTGCAGTGACATGTCCGATTCCATCCCCTCCTGCAAGGATCCGGAGGTCGTTCCCGATGCAGACGACGAGCTGTTTCACAAAATTCTCGAAGATGTGTAGCGCAAAAGCTTCGGTTCAGGCCGGACTCCAGGAATTTCTTGGTTCTCGAGGGCCACCCGGGCAAAAACCCTGCATCCCCACATACTCTAAACCCTACACCCTAACTCCACAAGCCCGGTTCATTTCTTGTGGATGTGCCTGCACTCTGCACGGCTTTGAGATTTGTTTTGGAGTTCAGGATTTGGGGTTTAGGGGTTTAAGGGTTTATAGGGTTTAGGGTTTAGGAGTTTAGGAGTTTAGGGTTTAGGGGTTTATAGGGTTTATAGGTTGTGAAGTTCAGAGCCCAGGGGTGCAGCCGAGCTGTGGTCTATTCACGACCTCTTGTGGTTACTTCGCATGACTTCGGGGATCTATGCGAAGATACTGGGTGGGTATCCCTGTAATCTCTATTCCCTATTCCTTAAACCCTAAACCCTAAACCCTAAACCCTAAACTCTAAACCCTAAACCCTAAACCCCTAAACCCTAAACCCAGTGTGGCGGGCTATACTCTGAAGCCGAAACCCGAAACCCGGAAGACGAACGACCTTAGGGAAGAGACCCGAGAACCCTAAACCCTAGGGAAGAACCCGTAAACCCTCAACGCTACACCTAGGGACGAGTGCACAAAATCCTGAGCCCCTAAGCCCTGGGGAAGAGTCCGTAAACCCTCAGCCCTATGCCCTAGGGACGCATAAGGCCCTAGGGAAGAAACCCTGAACCCTACACCCGCGCTAAACCCTAAAC